CGCTTTACCTATCCTTCTAGGAATTCTGGGGTACTCTCTCTCTCTCTCTCTCTCTCTCACACACACACACATTGCAATTGTATTTCTCAGAGTCTCAGTTTCTCTGATGTTGTATCCGAAGGAATATACTCGTCTATTCAATTCTTAATGAATATCAAAACGTGGGATTCTGCTTATTTATAAAGAAAAAGAAACGTGGGATTCCTCAAATTTGTCATGTTATGTTTCCTCTTCAGCATCAACCGATTAAACTTGGGTTCAAAACATTTGTCTGGCTATCTGGTGACGATGATTCTCTACTTGCCACAGGGGATGTTCGTATGATCAGATCGGATGAATAGCTAGTTTCGTTTTGTAGAGATATGTTGACTTCATTCTGGAAAATCCTCTTCTATCATACTTCTTGAAATCGTTAAGTTTGAGAACTTGTTATGATTGCTCAAACAAAGGAATTGCCACTGTGTCAGAGTGGGTCTTACTTTTCCTTGAAGAACAGGAGAATTATGATATAATTGGATATTAACTAATAATGAAACCACTTAGATTTCTATGCGTAGAACAATCACATGCACTTTGCTGAGAGAATGAGACAATGTTTCAAAAAACTGAGACGTGTGATTTTGAGGATTTTTAATGTAGCAAACACAGATAGGAAATTTAAAGAATAGCTTTTCTCATATCAAAATCAAGAAGCATGTAGTATGTGATGCTGATTTAGTATTTCCTACTTATTTGAGATTGGTATCATGTTATCTTGGACCAGTTCAGTGTTTGACGTAACAAAGGGAAAGTCACACTATGGCGTGGGAGGAGGCTACCATCATTTTGCTGGAAGGTATGTGATTTGATTTGGGCTCTGTATCCCGTTGCTTGTGGATGCAAGTGTATTGGTCGCTGCTTGTAGAAGAAACTATCAACATCAGGCAATATTGGCTATTATTGTTAACTTACATGATGAATGCATTCAGGGCATCTGCAATCACATAAAGGGTATTACTTTAGTATCTTTCGGAAAGAGGGGAGTCCATCTCATTTCTACCTGAAGACTGTACAATTGAGCTACTTTAAAATTACGTTGTTAATTATAGTAGGATTGAATTATCCAGAGAAAATTTAAGGCAGAACAATCACATTTCGTGTGTTGAGGTTTTTATCTATTGGCATATGGTAGATAGATTTCATCATTTTAGTATATATTATCATCTAATCTCCTTACAAAAATTGCCTTTAAGGCTGAAGAGTAGAAAGATTGTTTATACCAATGGTCAAGGGAACTCCTTGATAATGGCGTAGCAGAACTCGCAGGATAAGAATTTGCAGAAACGAAAACCTCAAGTATATCTCTTATTGAAAATTTTCTGGGTTAGTTCAATAAGTAAATGATAGCAAATGATTCTCGCTTTTGTGCACTGATTCAGACTGGCTTGTCAGGGAAGTCCACATTATGTTCTTAGCGCAAAACCTATGTAATTTACCTGTAAAGTTGGTGTTTCTATTGCTTTGACCATGATACTCGAGAGCTCTATTTGTTATGGGAGTTATTGGTAATGATACTGGATGCTCTGGCAAAATCTGCTGTAATTCTTACTTTTGGGCAAGCCTCTAATTCAGTTAATACCCCATCTGTTAGCATTTTGCTATAGGATCTTGAATTTCTTTCACCTGTGACTCACGTACTGATGTCAGTCTTGACATGTTGCCTTGGTCAACTCAGAGACGCCTCCCGAGCATTTGTTTCAGGAAACTTTACAGGTAATGGTGATCTTTCCTTTCAGTATGAATACTGTATTGCAGTTAAATGAAAGAATTCATGGGCAAAAAATGGGATGGTGCCCACATAATGAAAATTTTGGGTTCTTTTGACCTCTTGTCTTCTTTCTCATCTGGTATAAGATCTCATGATAATATAAAGCAAGGCATTCATAAAGGTAATGATTTATATCTATTTCTTTTACCTAAGAGAGGATAATAAGTCTAACACTCTATGTGGATAATTTGTATTTTTAGGCTTTATTAACTCTGCCTTCACTATGTAGGGCCTTAACTGTTTCTCTTTGAAGTTTCAGTCTGTAGTTGCACAAGTATCGGTTTGGTTTCTTCATTCTCATCCTCATCCTCATCCGAGTACTAGTCTCAGTAAATGACATAGTTTATGGAGTCTAAATTGAGAGATGATAATTTGCTTTGACATATTTAAATTATAGTTTCTAAAACTTCCAGATCTATTTACATTTATCTTTGTGCGTTTATATTGTTTCATTAAGGAGAGGGACTCACGGATTCGCTGCGTGATCTATCCAGCTCTCAGGTAATTAACATTATGTTGGACTCCAAATTGTTGTCTTGGGCTCATGAATTTGCAGCGACTCACCTCGTCAGATAGACCTTTGCTTTAGCTGGTGCAAGTGTAGCTGTGCTTAAGAAGGTCTTTAAGGTTGTGTGATTGGCAACCAAAAGGACATGAGACAGAAAGGACTTTAAGACGAGCATATGAGCTTCGGGCATTAAAATTCAAATATAGTCAAAATCTTCTACACATTGCCACAGTCAACACTTAGTTGCACCTGTATTGTTGCATGTATTATTGCAGCTCACAAATTTTTCTTCTGTTTTTTATTAACTTAGTTTAAAGCTATTTGATAGCACCAAAGTAATTTTTGGGATAAAAAAATAAACTTTGTCATTTCCTCAAATATGGTACTGCTTTAGTCAGAAACTATGTTTTATTGTAATCTTGTTAACTTGAGTTGCCGAAGACCTGTATCTTACCTAAACCTTACTCGACGAGGGATTGGCTTCATTGGTGCTTGGGGAATCTATGCAGACATGTATGCTACAAATATCAAACTAAAAAATCATGTCACCGTCCATGCTTATCCGATAGTGGTCATTCTTTGATTCTACTTTGCCATTTTATGCAGGTGAAGAGTGTAGTCGATTGGAGGGACTTCTACTTTAGAAGTTACACGTGAGCTTATTATATGCTACATTCTAATATTTACTAGTAGCTTCTTATTCTGTGCACTTAAAGTCTGCATATATCATAGGTCGAGATTTTCCACATAACATACTTATTTTGATAGAAGAATGAAAAGCCATTTAATCCGAAACTCACAGAGAGTGCTTTGATGCTGAGAATTGAGGACTCGGGGAAGCTTATTTGTTCGATCAATTTACTTTTTTTCCCTAGGAGGTATATTCACACCACTTTTATTTTGTAGAAAAGATTTTCACTTGAATATGACTTTTGTAAGAGGGTGTTCAAAAGGTTCATGGGGCTTGCCGAGTTTTATATCTCACTGCAATACTTTGCTTGAATGTCTATCGGAGGTCTCTCAGTAATTAAGAACGTATTGACCTTGGCCCTTAGGTGGGTTCAAGAGGTACTCTCATTGTCATCTTTTTCATTTGGAATGGAAGAGGTGAGACGTAATGGCTTGAACCTTGGCCCTTAGGTGGGTTCATGGATCAAGAAAGTGGGTAATTGTAATTTTGCAAAATGCAGAGATTATACCCAACTTTTGTTGTCTAATGTAGTGGCCGCCATAATAATTTTGGTTTAATTAAACCAAAAGTTCTTTTGTGTGGAGGTCTCTTATATATTTTCTTTATGTCATCAGATATGTAGGCAAGTTAGTCGGCCATTATTATGACAGCCAAGGGAACCCCACAAAATATTTGAAAGGAGTTGAAGCTAAGGCCGCTAGAGGTGCGCAATTAATGGAAAAGCAGAAGAAAGAAGAAGCTAAGCAGCCTAGTTGCAATTCCAGATGGAGTCAGGACGAGGGAGGACAGGTATGTCAAGTTGGATGACTTCAGATGTCTACTTTAACAACCTCTAGATCATGATACAGATTCTATTTCTTTGTGTGCTGTGTTGGACGAAAGTGAACATGTCATCATTTTTGCAATACCCATAGGCATTTCAATCCGCTGAAGCGTGCATGACTGCTTGCACATCATTTCTGATGATCTAAATGTTCCGTGTTTTTTTTCAACATCTGTCCTTATTTGTCAGGTTTGGTGTGACGTTGGCTTCCCGAGATTGGTACAGAGACCTCAAGAGATTGCTTTGACGGGGAAGATGAGCAAGCGTTGCGCCTGCTTTACAGAGGACCAGCTGAACAATCCAGGGTTGGAAGTATATCAAGGATGTGACTACCTTGCTAAGACCTGCATTGTCTGAGTTGGGATTTTGCATGAGCCGTGCATAACAGATGTTTCTTTTTGTAGTGTAGACATTGAGCTTGAAATGTTCATGACGCCATAGAAGATAGAAATGTCTACACCAAAGCACATATATTGCTGCCGCACATCAATGACGTGTTTCTTGAAAGAACAAAAGTCAGGATTTTGCACTCACTTGAGTTGAATTGATAGTTCATCATATTGTCTCTACATGTTAACTTCACTCAATTAAGTTCGTTTGCAACGCCTGCATTTTGTTTGGTCCTATAGTGTTTGGTGTTGTTATTTTCACTCTTAACGGCATGACCATACTGATTAACAGCGTTTTTAAGATTGAATAATTCTGTAAGGCGTAGTTGAAGCACAATGAAAACTACATAGGCAAAACAGGAGAGTTGGAAAGTGCCATGGGCCAAACGAACGGTGAATGCGATGTGAAACTGGTTGCATAACGTTGTGCTACTATACCTGGATTAATCTGTCGTTACCGTGACTTGTTTACCTTCTTCAATGGGTTGAGAAAGGACTCTGGAGGGGACTTCAGGACGTAATGTGACATGAGTGAGGGTCAGATCCCAACACTGGATGACACCATGTATACAAAGACATGATATCCAACTATCAAAACTCTGAGTCTCGGCAAGTTCTAAAATAAGTGAGGATGGTTGCAGACACAGCAACTGGAGAATCCTAAGAGCAAAGGTATTCGTCCAATGACCGAATCCTGTCATACAACACTACTTTGCATGTACCCACAATGTCAAGTTCAATAAGCCATTTCAATTATTAAAAGCTCAAGCTACTTCCAAATAGGCATGAAACAAACCTTTACATTAACATTCAAAAGCCACTTCTCCGGCTGTAGTTTTTAGGAAAGGAAGCAACATGTCGGTCTAATCAGCAGAGTTTTAGAAATTTCAAGGGGAAGAAAATCATCAAATTAGAGCAAGCATAAAGTTCCTTAAACGTATGCACGAGAGCAATATCAGACGGTAGAATCCCGTCTTTTGAACAATCCAGTGTGACTGCGAAAAGAGTTACTTTCTCTGCCACATTGTTATTGCCTTCCTCTCCTCATTGTTAGGAGGAAGGCAATCTTTTGCCCAGTGCCCTGCCTTGCTCATTGTTATTGCCTTCCTCCCCTCATTGTTAGGAGAAAGGCAATCATTTGCCCAGTGCCCTGCCTTGCTCATTGTTATTGCCTTCCTCCCCTCGTAGTTAGGAGAAAGGCAATCTTTTGCCCAGTGCCCTGCCTCGCCGCACTTGTAACAAGAACCCGGTGCAGATGACTTTCCAGTTCCACTTGAAGCGGAAGAATAGTCAGGTGCAGGCAAAGAGCAGTCCTTCGCCCAATGTCCCTCCTCACCACGCTTGACACAGGACGATCCACTTGGTGTGCCATAGCTTTTGCCGCCCATGTCATTGAAGCTGTTATAGACCTTACCGGCACTTGCTGGAAGACTAGCTACCGCTGTATGGTAATTGCACCATTTGAAGTAACCACAGGAACTTCCCTGCATGAAAATGGACAACAGCTAAGATTCACAAACCACAAAATTTCGTCAAAAGTACTCCCATGAGTCCCGAAAGTAATATGACACTTTATGGAAGTTCTAAATAACCAATTAGGTGATGCTAATCAGGCTGCCGCCATCAACTTCTATTGAAGATCTGAAAAGAGTCCAAGGTCATTCAACAGAGCCTCAACAGTGCCAGAAGAACGAAAGACCGATAAAACTGCTAATATCACCAATACCAGAACTAATGTTTCACAAAAAAAAAAAAAAAGCCGACCGAATATTTGTAATATCAATCATTTCCTATTCTCAAGTTGGAACTGCAGAACAAGTCCCCAAAGTGCTTCTATTTCCTCCCACCTCATATTTTGCTGTCTGCTCAAGTGGGATTAGGCACATCTTGTGTCATATTGGAGGAGGACATACTGCAGGTAGGGGAGTAACTTGTTTCGAGATAAAAGTGGAACTTTCAATTGGAATGTGCAAAAATCTTTAACAGGAGTTATCTGACTTGTGGTGTGCAAAAATGTTGAACAGGAGTTATCTGACTTGTGGCCGTTAGGCTGATGCAGAAACTGGTGAAAGAGTCACAAGCCTCGCATCTACGACACAGTGAAAATAGCAATGGTTTTATCCAAGTTTAACTCAAAACTCCAGAAAGAACAATTTAATGAAGAGGGAAAAAGAATGCAAAAGCAGAGAAACTTTAATATGTGAGGGAGAATATTGGAAATCTATGAGGATTAAACCTCTGAGTGATACCTGATTGGCAGGACACCGATAGAATTGCTGCCCCACATTTTTCCCCGTTTTTGCTGTTAAAATTAAGCAAGACCCAGCCCCACATGGGCATAACAGATCTGGAAATTGAGAACTGCTGCGACTATCGAAAGACATATTGGGCATGTAGGTTGCTCCAGAAGCATTATCGCACCACTCGAAGAAACCACATCCCCCATTTTCCTGTACAAAAGCAACAATTAGTCCACGAAGTAATGACAGGAGCTCAACTGTCAGATTAGAGACATTCAAGATATCCTTAAAACTTGCTTCAGCCTAAATGACAATATCTCCACTGAAATTACTTAAATGAAAACCAAGTACACTGTGAATATGTGTGCTGGCGTAACACTTGAGTTATGAAAAGAAAACGAGAGAGGAGGAGACTGAAAGGACAAAAAATCATGACCCTTTTAGTGCAAAAGGCAACAGAACCTTTCTTATTTCTGACCAAAAAAAAACAGAAGCTTTCTTATATAATCGAGCCAGACCCTCTCAAGACAGTAGAAACCAATAGGATGAAATAACTTGCCAGACCTCTATCTGTGAAATAATTTCATGGATTGAGCCAAACTCTTTTTGTATGAAGAATATGGTTCACGGCTAATTCAGAGCTCGATAAACATTAAAGGGAAGCAGAACTATTGTAGTTGGCCATTACTCAAGCTAAGAAACAACAGTCACTCAGCTACAATGAGGCAAGGCTTCAATGGGCAACAGATAAGCTCTTCAGGAATCAGAAAATCTGATTGCAGTATCTATTTTTCGGCTACTTTGGCAGAAATTAATATAGATGTTGAGGACACTGAGACTAGTGTTTCTCCCATGATTTTATCAAACACAAATGAAAGACGCACCAACCCTTCCCACAGTCGATGTGGACTGGTTAACTCATTTAAGTTTTTGGCCATTCTTTTATCTTCTTGATTGTTCAGTCGAAATGATTATAGTGGTACACAGGCAGCACCGCATTGATGCCATCTTGCGAAAGATTTGTGCCAAGTGATCAGCTGGCAACATTGCAGATTGTTGCGTGATTCTTGTAAAGCTTCCCGAATCATGACTTGTAACTGGAATTCTCGAACACCCTATGGAGAATTTCTACACCAAAATGCTGTGCAATGGTAATGCTAGCCACAGCTCCAGTTTCTCTCGGGAAGGAACATACACGCTTTCAATGAATAGCAAAATAATTTCCGCATAAACCATGTCGAGTGTTTGTAGGTTCTAACACACTTGTCAGATCATCAAACATTCAGCATAAATCTCCGTTCGCTGATCAACATTTCAGTATGCGAAAATCAATACGCGTACCTCTCTCACAGGGCACTTGTAAAACCTCCTGCCCCTGTTCTTCTCAGTATTCGCAGTGAGAACCAAGCAATCGCCCAGCCCGCAGGGACACGCCTTCTGAGGCTCGCTCGATTGCGCCCCTCCCCCGACCGGAGCACCATCGCAATCCCGCGCCCAGTGCCCTAACTTACCGCACTTGAAGCACGCGTTATCCCCGCCGCCGCCGCCGAGCCCTAACCGATCGCCGCCAACATTAGCGCCGTCGGCCGCGACGACCTTGAGCCGGCTTCCCGCGCCGGCGGACTTGCTCTGCTGCTCGCGCCAACGGCCAGTCGCGTCGTCCCCTCTCAGAGCCGCGAGGTACGCCCCTTTGACCTGCGGCTTGACTTCTCCGGCATCATCGGCGGCGGTGAAGGAGGGCCTGGCGCGCTTGGCGGCGGCCTTCGAGGAGAGAGCGCGGGATTCGGCGTCGGCGACCTGGGAGAGGAAGTCGTAATCGGCGTCCTCTCCGTCGTCGAGGTCGATGATCTGTCGGAGTTCTCTCTTCATGGTCTCGCCGGCCGGACGGGAGACGCCGCGATCGTCCGCCTTCTGTGATTTTTCGCATCTCTGCATTTGTTTCAGGGTTTTTATAGCTCCATTTTTCTAGTGCATCGTCTTTCCCGCCCCTTTCTTTCAATGCGTTTTCAAACGTACGGCCGTAGACATGCGAATTCGTATATTTAGAAGTATATATTATTATTTCGTTCTTTCTTCACCAAATTTAAAATGTTATATCATTTCAAAAAGATTACGAGAAAGTAACATATTTATATTATAAATTCACATGTCGATATATTTTTTTATTTTTTCAAATTGATTATTCCGGTATTACTCGAAGTCAAAACTAGAACTTAAACTATCCATTCGAAAAGCATACATGTGACAAGTAAATGGCCTATCCATCCAGTACAAAGTAAAAAAATTAACAGAATCATTTTATGCTATGACTTAAAAGGATTTGCAAAATAAATCTTTGAGACATGAATGGTAGATGATAATAAATATTATTGGCAATAAAAAGTGTTGGAGATATATATGATTGGAGATATGAAGGGATTTGATTGTGATACCGATTCTGATTACGAACTAATTGATGCGGTCAATCCGTAATTGGTTAAGTAAAATAGGAAAATGTAATTTTGTATATTCCTTTTTTCCTGTTTCTGTCTTTCTTCCTTGTACTGTAAATATACTTATGTACATGCGCACAAATTAGAGCAATCCAATAAATTCTTCCAATATTCTTCAGTTTTTGTCAAAAAGTTAAAAGAATAAGACAAAAATTGCATAAACGACAAAGTAAAAACATCAAAAGAAAGTAAAGCTAGGTGATAACTTTGTAAATGGTACAACAAGATAATAAGAAACATGAAAAGTTCCAGTGAGAAAATCTGAATTAGCCATGACTCACAATATCAACGGGATCAATCTAAAATTGGCTTGAATTAATTCTTTTTTCTATCACAATAGAAGAATTATAAGATAATAACTAAAGGACAAGCATATTTCATTTAATTATTTGCGAAAAAACTGACGATAGCCGAATAATAAGTAGAGCTATTTAGTTTTGGATATGAAATTGATATATTACTTCCATTTGATCATAGAATTGAGATTCAAGAACTCATTGACAGTGCCCGAATGGTAAGTCCTCCATCCATTGACGTAGTTCCAATTGCCCTTGATTAACATCTTCCCAATCCTGTCACCTACTAATATGACATTGGTCTTTTTACTGTGCACAACACATACTCCAAATATACCATCACAAACCTGTACAAAACAATAAAGGTTTAACAAAAAGAAGACGATAGAGACATTAATAGCACATTGGACTGAAAATAGACGCACGAGCTCCTAGAATATACCCAGAAATCATACGTTAGAACCTAGGAGAGAAAAGACCTGGATGCACAAATATGATTTTGAACTTGAAGCCATGTTTGGAAAAAAATAGTAACATAAAATGAGGTTTAAATAACTTTGATTTGTGTTGTGTGACACTCCTACCAAAAATGTCTAGGAGAATTGTAGAACAAGTGGGAGACATTTTTAATAACTGTGTGGTCTCATAATTGTAATACGCAACGTGTATGTTTTGGAATTAGAGGAAAGTTATGAATGGTTCTTGTAAACTTCCTGAAAGAAAAGAGAAAAACATTCCATAATTATGTATAGTCCAAGATGATTTCACCCTCGTTCGTTTAATTGGAATAAAATAATTTGAATGAACTATTTGGTAATCGAAATGGTGAATTACCATGTTTAGTAGTGGATTGGTATCGGAATAATTTGAAACGATAAATTTTGAGCAGAATTCGTGCAAGGTTCGTACCGAATTTGTGCAAGGTTCGAGCAGGATTTGTGCGTGAGTCGTGCAATGTGTCGTGTTTTCATGTGCTTGAATGGTTTCTCTTTGGATTTTATTTCAAAAATTTGCTCAAGTTGAAAAAGAATTTAGCACATTTGGGTGTTGTTGCAATGGATTTAATCAACCAAAGCTAATCGGAGTGGCTCATGGATGAAGTGAAACTACCAGAACCGTCCTTTGTCACCACGAATCCCCTCATCCATTTCTCCTATGGCTTTCTTGTACAGGCTGCAATTCTAGAGAACCATTGCCGTATTTCCAAACACAAAATCCACCATGCCGTATACATTGCAGTTGTGATACAGGTGAAGACCAATGTTACAGCGTGTCTTGGTATCTCAAGAAGCTGACCTGAAGAACGTCGACTTTCCGAGCTGCTCTGAAAAGCCACGGCTTGATGCATCCTTGGCCCCGCAAAATTCTCAATGGTGATTCCCTTAGCAAAAAATCCATTGGCTTGACTGTTATAAAGAAAATGACACTAAAAATTTGCTAATTTAATTACATATCCTTTTAGAATTGTACCCAGGATAAAATAATAGAGTGCTGCTAGCATAACGTATGTCTAAAATTGATCAACTGGCCAAAAATTTCCCTTGCTATATAATTTTGGCCCAGACTACAGATTTCTCACAAAAAATGGGCAAACAATTATAAAAACTATAGTCCAAATTAATTATCCTCATATAACTAAAAGGCAGAACCGAAACTTGAATTTTCCATTTAAGTGCGTACACGTCACATGTAAATGCCCTATCCAATACAAAATAAAAAAAAATTAACAGGGCGATTGTTTTGCTAAAACTTTAAAGAATTTGCAGGAAAAATCTTTTGAACTTGAAAAATGGGTGTGACTTGATAAATTTAAGGTGTAAAATCTATATTATACAATATGTATTGGAATAGGTGTAAGATCTATATTAAACAATATGTATTATATTTCAATTCTGAATTAGAGACCAAGTGTTATTGAGTATATGACAAGTTTATAAAGAAATGTTCTCAACATTTATTTATTTCCATTTTTGATATGGATGACAGATGATATAGAGATATAATTTTCCCATAAAAAGTTAAAATAATAAGGTAAGAATTGCATATTAAATAAAGATTTCGCGTACATTAGAGTGGTTTTTCTTTTTCAGTTTCTAAAAAATGAGAGTCGGTGCACATACGAGTCATGTACTAAAGTAACAAATACCTTAGTAGAAAAATACAGTATTAAAAAATAATGTAAACACCCCTAGGTCTTATTACTATAACTAAAGAATGTAAGTATAGGTGATAATTTGGTAAATGGTGAAACAAAATATCAAGAAACGTGAAAACTTCTAGGCAGAAAATCTGAATTAGTCGACGCTCACAATATCAATCTGATTTAAAAATTGGCATGAATTTGTTCATTCACATCCTTTTTCCATTACAATCAATTTTTTTCCTTTAATAATTAAAGGCCGAGTTATGAAATAAATTAAATAAATTCATGTCAATTTTTAAATTGATCTTACTAATTTTTTGAGCCGTGACTAATTCAGATTTTCTCCATAGAACTTTTCATGTTTCTTTATTATTTTCTTATACCATTAACAAAGTTATTACCTAAGCCTAGGGGTGTCAAAAATACCCGCTCAAACATGACCCGACCCGAACCGACCCGACCCGAACAAGGAATTTTCGCATTGGGTCGGGTTGGCCTTAACTTGTTTGGGTAACAGTATAAACAAGGCTTAAGCTTGTTTTGGATCTACCCGAACCCGTCCGAAACAAGCCCACCCAAAACAAACAAGAGCCATTTGTTCTTCTTGCTCCAAGCCTGCCCCAAACCTTGTTTATCGTGATAGTGTGACGCGATCTGTCATCTTCTTCCAGAGCTCCGGATCTGCAACCGAGTAGTGCGACGTAAAGGCAACTGGCGGCGACGATCGGCGTCTTCGCCGCCGGCGCCACCCTGATTGCGGCTGGCATCACCAAGTCGGCGAAGTAGGGTTCTGCAGTGTTCCAGAAATATTCTCATGGGTTCGTGACCAGAAGTTCTCTGTTCAACGAAGGTAAATCTGCGAGGAAGGGAGCGAAGGAAGAAGAGAGAGGTCAGTCGAATCGAACGTGTGCCTTGAGATTTTGCGTTAAAATCTCCGCCTCCGGCTTCTCCTCCCCTGTATCGGATCGTTTGCGGTTCTGGGTTGGTCTCGGCTTCGGCTCCCCTCATCTGGGTTCAGGCGCTCGACCGGCGTTCAGTCTTCGGTCCGGGTGAGTTGGGTTGCTCTAGTCTCCCGCATTTGTATTCGTGGGTGATTCCGGCTCTCTGCGACTTGGGTCGTGCCCTATTTTCATTGCTTTTACCTGTGCTGGTGTGGGTTGAATTCTCGAGTTTGGTTTGGCTTCTCAACTGGAAGTGGAAGTGCCATCCTTTGTTGAAAGTCCTGTTCTTACCTTGCTGGCATTTGCTTTTCTCTTTTCCCTCTTTGTTGCGTGATGAATGGAATTAAAAGGTGTGTGATTGTATCGAGAGTTTTCTCAGTTCAATTTTTTGTGTACTTCTTGTTGTTCTAGCAGCTGATCTTCGCTCTGCTAGTGGGACTTAAGCTAGCACCACCTTGTGGTGTGATTTTAAGGCAACATCTGTTTGTGGGATGACCATGTTTTGACTGATCTCTGTTCAACAGAATGAGGAACCCATCTGGATGCTTACACGTTTCGTTCATTGTTACATTGTCCTTTACGTGATTAATACAGCCCCTAATTCACAATGCTGGTTGGTTTTTTATAACAGAACGTTGAGCAAGAATGCATTGAGAAACAAGAAGAAAAGGGAGAAACAAAGGGAAAAAAAATCTGCAGAGGCCAGTTCTGCCTCAAGTGATTCATGATATGATAGTTAATGTGAGTTGCATGTCTAGAATCTTGGTCACTGGTTTGATTTCCTGTGCATAATGAAGAGGTCATAGGGAAAAACAACGGTGCAATGCCTTCTGGCAATTCCTTTAGAGTGGAGCTACTCCAATGCTGCCGGTATTGGGTTTTTGAGTGAATATTGGAAGACGAACTTGTGAAGAGATGGCTCAGTGTACTTCTTTGCTCTCTGTTCACCGTTCTTTGAATTTATTGTGGTGAGGGGGCAGCATCGTGCCAACTTGGAACTCCTTTTCTTCGAATAATGTTCAAATATACGTGAAATAGCATAAATTGTTCGACTTACTTAGCTTCTACTAATTTGGCGATTGAGTCGTGTTCCCGTGTGTCTTGGTCTATATATCTATGCATAACGAAAGCTATTGCCAATAGAGCATTCTTGAGAGCTTTGGTCTATATATCTAATTTGGTGTTCCCTCTTTCCAAAACACGAACCCGACCCGACCCGAACATGACCCGAACCGACCCCGATTGTGTGGCTATATCATGTTCGGATCTTGTTTCGGGTCGGGCTAAGCACACATATTCATTGTTTCGGGTCGGGTCGGGTATAATGAAAACCCGACCCGATCCGACCCATTGACACCCCTACCTAAGCCTACTTTTTTTTTTTTTTTTTTTATATATATCAAAACGGATCGGCAGGTTTTATACTTTTATTGAGACTCAACATGAACAATGTCTTGAGAAGCACGCTTAATTCTTCGACTTACGGTGAAAAAGCGCCTTTAGAGGTTGGGAACTTAGGATGACGTGTTGCGGTTGTGTTTGTAATTCGTGTATCTTGATTCTGATTCTACCTGCCAAATAACTAAATTACACTAAAAATATGTCAATATTGACATATGAAAGTAAGTATTGTTATGTCGGGTCATATTCGAATTTTCGCTCTTTTATCTCGTGTCATGATAGTACAGCTCACAAATTATGAGTTTGTCCGGACTAGCTTTTTAATTTTGACTCTTTTTATTTCTTTCTTTCTCATTTTTACATTATACGTACTTTGACTTTTTTTAGTTTTAAATATCTGAAATTTTGATAATATGTAAATGTCGATACTAAAAACCACCATATATTTTATTATATTGAATCGTATTGGAGAATTTGATGAGAAAGTAAAAAGTATATATATTTTTGACTTTTCACGAGTCCCACCAAACAAAACCCTAGTTTTAGAAAAATGAACGATGCTCAGCAATCAGAAAAGAAAATTTTTCAATTTTCAGTACAGTTACATTTAAAAAATTTAGAAAATTCCCTCGTTCTACGACACTCATCAATTAAAATAATAAAAATTTTAAAAAAATTCAGGTTAAACTAAAAACAACAAGATTAACGAGAAACGAAGCGTTCGAACCGAATCGATCCGGCATGATAATGAGATTCGATTCGATTTTGCTTCGCTGAAAAAAAAAAGAAAAAACATTTCAGTTTGACCTTTCCTTAGTCTTTGCCCAATCAATCGGACCCGATTCCTTGCTGTGTAAGCAATTCATGTTTTTTTCTGGAATTTCTTTTTCCTAAATATAGTCCCTTTCAAAATGCTAGGCAAATGTCGTATACGCTGACGAACATAACTCCCCTCCTCGTACGTTGAGAAAGACACACGAACGTCCTCGGAAACCTACCAATTAAACCGGTACGTTCAGGTCAAACATGAATTTCATATTTTTTTTCTGGAATTTCTTTTTCCTAAATATAGTCCCTTTCAAAATGCTAGGCAATGTAGTTGGTCCGATTTCCCTTTGAAATTAGGAACCGGACCGCCCGAATACCGATTCCACTTTTAGGAATCAGGAACCGGACTGACACTCCCGGGAACCGGATCCAACTTGCCAGTTCGGTCCGTTCCGGTAATACAGTGCTGCTAGCATAACGCATGTCTAAAATTGATCAACTGGCCACAAATTTCCCTTACCATATAATTTTGGTCACAAATTTCCCTTACTATATAATTTTGGCCCAGATTACAGATTTCTCACAAAAAATGGGCAAAGAATTATAAAAACTATAGTCCAAATTAATTATCCTCATATAACTAAAAGGCAGAACCGAAACTTGAATTTTCCATTTAAGTGCGTACACGTCACAAGTAAATGCCCTATTCAGTACAAAATAAAAAAAAATTAACAAAGCGATTGTTTTGCTATAACTTTAAAGAATTTGCAAGAAAAATCTTTTGAACTTGAAAAATGGGTGTGATTTGATAAATTGAAGGTGTAAAATGTATATTAAAAAGCATGTATTAGATGCCAGTTACGAAGTAGCGACAAATATTATTGAGTACATGATAACTTTATAGTATGGAGTCATCCGCTCATATTGATATGTTCTTGACGTTCATATACTTCTATTTTACATATGAATGATGGATGATATATATAAATATATATGTATATATTTTCCCTTACAAAGTTAAAGAACAAGGCAAGAATTGCATAGTAAGAAAAGATTTCTTGTATTTTAGTGTGGTTCTTTTCCAGTTTTCGAAAAATTGAAAACTTCACGTATCAAAGTAACAAATACCTTAGTAGCAAAATACAGTATTAAAATATAATGTAAACACCCCTAGGTCTTATTACTATATTTAAAGAATATAAACATAGGTGATAATTTTGTAAATAGCGAAACAAAATAACAAGAAACATGAAAACTTCTAGGCAGAAAATCTGAGTTAGTCGACGCTCACAATATCAATCTGATCGATTTAAAAATTGGCATGAATTTATTCATTCATATCCTTTTTCCATTACAATCAATTTTTTTCCTTTAATAATTAAAGGCTGAGTTATGAAATAAATTAAATAAAATTCATGTCAATTTTTAATTGATCCTATTAATTTTTTGAGCCATGACTAATTCAGATTTTCTCCATAGAACTTTTCATGTTTCTTTAATATTTTCTTATGCCATTTACAAAGTTATCACCTACGCTTACTTTCTTTTCTTTTCTTTTTTATATAAAAAACGGATCAACATGTTTTATTGAGACTCAACATGAACAATGAAGAATGCCGAATTATTCGACTTACGGTGAAAAAAAGCTTTGAGGTTAGGAACTCGGGATAATGTATTGGTCGTGTTTGTAATTCGTGTATCTTGATTTTGATTCTAAATACCAAATAACTAAATTATATTAAAAATATGTCAATTCATATTGACGTATAAAAGTAAGTATTGTTACGTTTTATATTCTAATTTTCGCTCTTTTACTTGTCATGATAGTACAACTCAGAAATTAAGAGTCTGTCAGGGGTAGCTTTTTAATTTTGACTTTTTTTATTTCTTTCCTTCTCATTTTTACATTGCACGTATTTTGAATTTTTTTAGTTTTAAATATCTGAAATTTTGATAATATGTAAATGTCAATACTGAAAACCTCCATATATATTTTATAATAGTTTTTAACATTTGAATCATACGGGAGAATTTGATAAGAAAGTACAAAAAAATTTATTTTTGACTTTTCACGAGTCCCAAAAAACAAAACCCTAGTTTTAGAAAAATGAACGATGCTCAGCAATCAGAAAAGAAAAATTTTCAATTTTTAGTTACATTTTGGAAAATTCCCTCGTTCTATAGCACTCATCAATTAACATGACAAAAATTTTAAAAAAATCAGGTTAAACTAAAACAACAGGATTAATGAGAAATGAAGCGTTCGAACCGAACCGACCCGGCCTAATCATGCGATTCAATTCGATTCGATTTTGCTTCACCGGAAAAAAAAAAAAACAGTTCACTTTTATCTTTCCGTGACTTTTGCCCAATCTCTCAGACCTGATTCCTTGGTGTTTAATCAATTCAAGTTTTTTCTGGAATTTTTTTTTTCGTAAATATAGTTCCTTTTAAAATGCTAGGTAAATGTCGTATACGCTGACGAACATAGCTCACCTCCTCGTACGATGAGAAAGACAAAAGAACGTTCTCAGAAATCTACCATGCACAGTTCTTCCTACCAAGCCGTTGACGACCACAAATAAGATTCCAATCTCAAGTAATTGAATGCCTTCATATACAAATTATGTTCAAAGCCGATCTCTGACTTGGCTTGGAGACGGATGAGCCCGCCGGCTATGATTCGCGAACCCTGGTGGATAACGACTTGGAGCGGTAGCCTGAACGGCGAACCGTTTGCATTTGGCCGGCCTTATGAAGAATTCGAACTTATGTCGGGTGTCTAGTCACTGCACACAAGCCCTTTTTCTTAATCACCGAATCGATCGCGCGGATTGTTATTATTTCTACCGCCGGCAGATGAGCACACGCATGAAGTCATTTTTTTCTCTTGTTCACAAGTCAACGGAAGGAAGCAGCGAACGAAGCAAGGATGTACGCCTTTTGCCTGCGATGGTTCCTGCACTGTTGGACCACATTTTGGACTTCGATTATACGCATGAAGGCGCGTTTCTGGCTACTTTTCTATTGCGCGTGGAAGCATGTATTAAACTTGAACTTCTCCTTCCACTCCTATAAATCTCCATGGAATGGAAACTGTGTCCATGCAAAATTCAGCACAGAGAGAGAGAGAGAGAGAGAGAGAGAGAGAGAGAGAGAGAGAGAGAGTTATTAGTGACTGAGCCGAGAAATTGTGGGAGGAGGCATCATGGCAGCAGCAGAGGCA